ACAAAAGTTGTGGGTAATTCAGGGTAAAGTAATGTGTAGAAAGCAGCACATGATTGCATTAAATGTTTTACAGTTAAACCCATATTATTAGAATTCTTTACCCGGCGTTGAACAGCTGACCCAACTCCGTAACCTTGTAGTTTTGAACCCAATCTAGAAGACAAGTGAACTCCTGTATCATTGGACAAACTAGACTTCATGGAAGATTTTTTTGATGGAACTAGCCTGCATTTTAATTACATGTAGAGAAAAAACTCGAAAAACTCGTCTACCACTAACGTTATTTTATATCAGCACTGTGGTCCCTGCGAGTTGGGAGCAGAATTCGTATCGACCAATCAACGATGGGTTTTGAAACTGGGTCACGTCATTGCGAAGCGAGTGCTCTATAGCCTGAGTCACCAACGGCTCAAGTTAAACACATAGGAGTTGAACAATCAATGGGTAATTTACTAAAAGAGAGACTGACTATTTACTGTCCATTTAATTGCTCAGGAGTAGGTTTTTAGGGCCCATTCTTTGTTAAATATAAACATCAAGGAATCATAAAATATCTGTATTATATATTTTATGATTCCTTGATATATTATTGTATGCTTAGCCACAAAAGCTGCTCATCTTGAAATTGTCCCTCATTTAACATCCGAGGTCCTTGTGATATGTTTTATAAGATTTTTAGCTCGATGACATATATGCTCAAAATTATTTTCAGACAACGTTACAAATTTCAAAGGATCTAAAAGTGAACTTTCTAAGTTACAAAATTTAATTGTAAAACCAGACTATGGCAGTTCCAATTGCAAGCTAGCCGTAGGAATTGATTAGCAATTCCTTCCTCCGAAATCTTCCAACTTTTTTGGGCATCGGAAAAGAAAGTGTTGTTAAGTTCTTTAAGGTCGTTTTTAAGAGAGTCTTAGGAAATTCCCGATTGAGCTATGAAGAATTCCTAACAGTCATTACCCAAATAAAAAGAATTCTTGGTTCCAGACAGCTTTTACTTCTATCTTCCGATACTGAGGTGTATAATGTGTTAACTCCTGCCCATTTCTTAATTTATAGACCCTTAAATACTTTTGTAGAGCCAAGTTTAGTGGAGGTGGAAGGTGGTTGATTATCTAACTGGAAAAGATTAACAAAAATTAAGTTTTCTTTTGTTGGAATAAATGGACAGTATATTAATTCATAACAAAAGTCCAAGTGGATGGTGGAAATCAAGGATCAAAATGGTTACTGAATTGAATTATTGAACTTTATTTTGGTAAAGACGAATGGGTTAGAGTAGTTAAAGTAAATACCCCATCTGAAATTTACAAACACCCTACATTTAAAATTTTTCTTTGTCTACTTATAAGTAATCTAATATAAGTGTTTTTTTAAGTGGTTTAATATTACTTTTATACTCTGGTTCATTATTTTTTAATTTACATTTATAACCGTCGTTGAACAGCCGACCCACTTTTTGGATTTACGACTTCCAATGTTCAACTCCGTATCCTTGTAATTTTGAACCCAATCCGGGAGACAAGGGAACTTCTGGATCAAGTATTGGGAGAAATTTTGCCTTCGTGGAGAACTTTCTGATGGAATTAACCAGCATTTGCGTTATGTGGTGAGCAAGACCACGAGAGCCTCCCAAGGTTAGCCTAATGGCAAATGGATTCTAACCCGTGATCCGTCTACACTGAGGATGCGGATTCACTGTGCACGTCAGCACTGTGGTTGATGCAAACCGGATGCGGATTCGTATCGACCTTTATCTACATTTGAAATAATTGTATGTTTTAATAATTAAATGTTACCATTGCTATGTAGGGCGGAATGTTACGTACGTAACAGAAGGAGGTGTTGTAGCAGCGCCATCTGACGGGTAAAATTATGAGTTTTATCAGTGTGTGACAATTTAGTCAGAGCTGAGAAAGTCAATGCATATTGAGAAGCAGTTAAATAAAATTAGTAACAATCTGCTGTTGGAAATTTGTGCGGGCGCTCATTTTGAAACCATACGCACGTTTTCAACGATTTATACTTTAACCAAACTGGTGCGCAACCCCATATATGCTAAAACTCTGTATTCCTTTTCAAGTATGTATACAGAAAAGGCAGTGCGCCAATTTGCTCCATTTTATCAGTCATTTCAGGCTGTTTGCAATTCGTGTCGGGGTTGAAGAAACATAAACGCAAATCAGCTTCCACGCAAAACCTAAATTTTCGATTCCATTTCTAGTTTAAAGTATCAATATTTCAGAGTAGAAAGCACATTCGAAACTCAGGGTGGCTCCGTTTCGGGGCCAAAGGTTTCTTGTGGAGGGGGGTGGAGAGTTTGAGGAATATACAGTAGAAATACAAAGCAGAAATAAAATGGTCATGACAAGATCAAAACAAACTGCCAATTCCGTCGAATCCGTAGACATCCGGATTCTCCCAGCCAAAGCTGTACACACCGGGCCCGACGTGTCCGGATCCGTAATCCGTTTTGGGTATTCGGACCGATGGAGATGTACTACTGACTAAGGCCCCGTGATTTGATTATGGATAAGGGGAGACGACACTGCAGACCCCCCTTCCTGTTCTTTCCTTCTCTGCATAAAAAAATAGGGGTGTTCAAATAGTGGATAAAATTGAGTCTGGGCGCAGATTGTTTCGCATATCAAAAGGATATATGTTATTGGAACGAAGAGCTTGTCGCTTCTTGTTTCACAGAGATTTTCATTTTTAGAATGGAAGAACTAAGTGGATGAAGGTTCTGTGATATTTTAAACTTGGCAATGGGAAATAAAGATTATACCTTAATTGTCCTATAGGCAAAATCTATAAATACCTAACCAGAACTGTGGAGTCTGTAATCGAAACGTTCAAAAATGACTCAAGACTCTTCTAAGAGTTTGACTCCTGTTAAAAAAACTATTAATATTACTTGCCACCTTTGGTGACCAGCTTGGTCACCTTTCAAAAACTTCTCGTACAATATTCAAACTTGAATGCTGACCAAGCCGAAGACACTGCGCAAACGTATTTTAATAATTTGATTCTTCAACCCTTCCTTCAAACCTAGCACCTTAAATTGTTTCAAATAAGTTTTTTACCACTTAGCAATTACGAATTCTAGTACTTTGATTTCAATTTTGTTGCTAGTCTTAGTACTTTGATTTCAATTTTTATTTTCAAAAGATGCCCACGATAGTGTCAATTATTTGTGTATTGAATTTCAGTAATAATGTAAAGGCCGTCCAGCAGGCATCAAATTGCACAAACTATGAGTTTCAAACAGTTCAGCACCTGGGTCAGAGTTTTACATAATTTTTCCTCTCAATACGCGAAATAAAGTGTTACTTTCCTTCGATAATTCGTTTTTATATATTTTTTATTTTTTTATTTTTTTTTATCGTCATCTGCTAATTCGCTGGAACTTCACTGGTTCATTTTACACTCAATTTTCACGAGTGAACTCATGATGGGAAGCCTATACCACGGCAATCGGTTGTGAAGCACATTGGAAAGGTTTTAAACTTACAAGATTTCGTAAAAGTGTATTCAACATCAAGCTCAGACAACATAAACATTAAAGAAATTATCGATGCGGCCTTTCAGCATGTAAAGACTTCACTAAAAGACAAAAATTTACTACATATCTTTTCTTACAGAAGTAATTGAAGTAGCTTCTAAACATGAAAACGGAAATATTTTTGCATTCAAACTACGTAAGAAGGATCCTGTTCAAAAGTGTTTAACTTCCTGCAAGCTCACGAACTTTTCCACGCCTAAGCCTAAATTAATTGGCAATGTTTGACTAATCAAGGAAGAGTGAGAGAGGTAAAATTTTTTGGCGCAAAAGCAGTGTCTTGACCTTGCCTAAAACTAGATTCAAGTTAAAATAACTAAACTCAGATAAATACAACTCGGTTAAAATTAAAACTAAATTGAATTTTGCGTCTTTTAATTCGGTAGGAAGTAGAATGGTTTGCATTTAAAAGTAGGTTTAAATCCCAGAATAAAATAAAATGTTGTAAAGATAAGAGAAGATGTTTTTATGTGCAAATATCTGGTAAAACTAGATATTCACAGCCAAAATGGCGTCGTCTTTGAAATATGTATTTCTCGCGTTGTGTGAGATAATGCATAACTGCTAAGGACAAGTCGCGAATTGAGCATGTTGGAACAGGGCAGGTTCATTTAATGGAAGTTATCTGTGCGTTAAACCAATGCGTGACCAATGAGCATTCTGTTTAGGATTGCTTCATATTTATGCGATTAAAATTAAAGAAGACACAAATGGAAAAATAATAACCTCTTATTCCATCTTTTGTTAAGCATCCATGAGTCAGAAAAGTGAGATTTACCTAACGCTAACTAATGAAAAGCTTATACAATCTAAAGCATATAACTAAATAACCGTTCCCACTAAACTAGTTTTTTCTGTTAATAAAAAAATCCGTAAGTTATTAAACAACGATCCATTACGGTAAATTTCATTTTTTAAGTTAGTATAAAATGTTTTCTCAAAGAAAACCCATTGTATTGTTCTTTATTTAATTTTCCTCTTATTTAATCTGATTTTATTTATTATTTACCAACAATTTATTTCGAGGCTAAAATTAAAATTTTTTGTGATTTTTCACGTACCGGAATGATATTGCCATTCCCTCTTTTAAAGAACGATCCAATCTTGCGAAATTCATTTTCTAAGTGGGTGTAAAATGTCCTCTCAGACGAAAAAGTCATTGCACTGTTATTTTTTTTTATTTTTAAAAAAAAGAATGTTACACAAAAAAATAAACACTTAGAAAAACAAATTACGGATAGAAATAACAGTAAATCGAGTCAAAGTTCAGTTACTAAAAAACTCGTTAGACCTTGAAATCCCTTAACGGAATTGAATTCCATCCTTAGCACAACTATCATCATCTTCTTCAAGAGACTTTACGAACCGATTTTTGTTTTTGATTGCATCAAGGAAAAACTAAACATCTCCAGTTACCGGTGGGCACTTTTTCGAAACGGGAGAGGGTGAAGTCCGGAGAACATCTAATCGGGAAAACATCACTCTTTTCTCCAGGAATAGGAACTGGTGAAAAATGAGCATGATCAGCGATCCGATGATTTCATTGAGCAAATTTTGTGTATAGGCTGGAAGGAACAGAGAGAGTTAGGGAGGCGTTAAGGAAATATAAATAAGTGTATTATCTTGTTTGTATCTTGGTTCTGTGTTCGAAGATTAATCAATGCAAGGCTTCGAGAGATGGGAATGCTCGTAATTTTGAGAATGTATAACTGTCAACCGTTACGACCCTTGTTTAATGGTAATCTCTTTGAGAGTGCAAATGGTGTTGCTGAAATAAGATAACAAGAAGCGGGATGCAGTTTGGTTATTTATGTTGCACTTTAAAGAATTCCGTAAAACAGGTTTTGTCTTTTAAATTAGGGAACTTAAATAAACGAAAATATTTTTTTCCTAAAATTACCAAAGATTTCCAATAATCTAGAATTTATTGGATCTGTTAAAGCAACTGTTCCCAATTTTTACTTTTGGCTATTTAGCCCTAAATAATCAACCTTCTTTTGGCGGACTGTATAAATAAAGCTTATTAAGGTAATTGTGTACGTCTTAACCTATAAAAGACTATTTTTACATATTTAATTACAGGAATGAAGATTTCACATCGTTTTATCGTTAATAATTTGAAATTTGATATTAAGTTAATTTTAAATTAGATATTAAGTAAGATTAAGGGCTTACATTTTAAATGGAAGTCTGTTCTGGTTCATTGTAAGTTTTCAAAATTTCCTGATCACTATATGCAGATTTTAGAATCATATCAGCAAAAGAAGTTTGTCTTCAATCTAAATTTTGGCTACTAGGAACAATGTTTTGTGAACAAAGCATTATTAGATGGAAAGGGTTGTTTTAATAGCAAAATTTAGATCGTCGAGTGAAATTTATCAGCAATCTCAATTTCGACCTCTTTCCGACTCGCTTAAGTGCTTAAATTTCTACAGGAGCTCTGTATCTGAGGACAATAAACAATCATTTTTTAATAGTTCTAGCTAAATTTATTAACAAACGAAATTTTTTTTTAAAACTTTCCGACTTAATCTAAAAGGGCGCGAAAGTAAAAAGTAGAAAATAATAATATAAAGTAAAAGATTTGAAAACTGCGTTTTTTAAGTGGATGAAAAAATAATTAAATTTTTGTTATACGAAAAAATCAAAAAACATAGTTTTCGTAATAAACTTCTATCACCACCAAAAATTTTTCTCTTCCCTTTTTGAAAGTGATGTGCCTTATTTTGTTCTTTTCCGATTTGTTCAAAATCAAATTATTTTCGCGTTTTTTCATTAACTTTAAACGTTTCATTTTTTTTATAACTAATCATTATATCTCAATTTTTGAATCTTGACCAACTCTTAGAAAAATTCAAAAAAATTTTTTATGCTTATTGAATATTTTAATTCAATAACGTGTCAAAAAATAAAGAAAAGAAAATTTAGGCAAAGAGAAAATGACTAGTAACAAAATTTTATTTTCTGCATAGCAATAATGAAAAATAAAAAAATATGTTTTGGAAGAAAATCTAAAAACATCACTCAATAAAATTTAGATCCATATGATTTTTCAGTATATAATATCGTAACAAAATTTTATTTTTTGAATAATAATAATGAAAAATAAAAAAAATAATACACTATGCAACAAATTCTAAAAACAACTATCAATAAAATGCAAAGTTATTTAAAAGGTCTCTATCTTTACTTTAAGGAATATAACTTACTAAATCTAGATATTTATTTTCAATACAAACTCAAAGTAACGTATAACGCACATTTTTAATAAATAATGCATGATTCATCATCATCAGCATTGGCACGACAGCCCTTTGTGAACCTGGGCCTTCCTCAGAAGCTTTTCCCATTCTGCCCTTCTCCCAGCAATTGTTTTCCAGTTCTTTACTTTTAGGATGGCAAAATCCTCATCTACGCAGTCCTTCCATCGATGGGCCTTCCTCTTGGCCTTTTATTGGAGGGGGTTGCATTAGAGACTCTCAATGCTGTTCGTTCTGGGCTCATTCTCACTACATGCCCGGCCCATCTCATTCTACTTAATTTAATAGATTTAATGATATCATCAATAATGCATGATTAACTTATGAAAAACGACCTATTTGTTTTCGAATATAAGAATAAATAGGCATTAAAATCAGGTATTGCATATAATCATTAAACAAACCGCCTTACATTTCTTTAAAAATATAAAATAACCAGTAAAAGTTAATATTCAGCATAAAAATATCTAAACTTAAAGAGCATAACAAGACATTTATAAATAAAAACTATAAACAAAAACAATGACAAATAGCCATAATTAATTATGAATGGAAAATGAATAAACATTAGCTATTTCAGAATTGTTGATATGATAACAATATTTAGTTACGTTACGATTCGTTTTTTTTCTTTTTTTCTTCTTTTTCTTTCTTTTCAGCCAAGAGACAAGAAACTACGCCTAAGTACAACAAATTTTTGATGTACAAATTAAGCTCTTTAAATATCAAAATATATTTTTAGCTTGTATGAAAAAGTTTCTCCTAGAAGCTATTTTTTAAGGAGAAAACTAACACTTTCTCAAAAAAAAACTAAAATTTTCTCAATTCTTAAACCGATTTATTCGGCACGTAATAACATAAATAACTTGATAAAAGAGACAAGTAGAGCTGTCTTAATTTTTAAAATTTAGTTATTTCACAAAATAAATAATTTTTTAAGCATTGTATTTATGTATAGAACATACTTCGAACAGTGTAGAATAATTTTAAAAGCAGAGGAAAAGAATATGTACCCGAAATTATGAGATTCCGCTAGATAAAAAATACCTTGTGGAACACTCCATGTTAAGTCTACGAGAAAAAGACCAATCAGAGAAGGTTACACATGTGTCGTAACCTGACGAAGTTAGATGGAAGTAACTCTAGTCTTATATAAGTGTTTGCCGATCTTTAAATTATTTTTCGAATTTATGACCGATTTACAAATAAAAATAAATTAAACAATGGAATTTTTTTTTTAAATAAATGTATGAAAAAGATAAATATGTAAAATTATCAACCGATATTTATAATCATCATATTATCATTATTGTTGAGAATTATCGTCTGCTTAATTTTTAACTTAGATCTACTTCATAGAATTAAGTTGCTATAGTAAAGGTTTGTTTTGCTTTCTTGAGCTTGTTCGTTCTTTTTTGTGGAGAAGGAACAAAATATCTTTGAGTTTATATGTATTTTTTGGCATTAATATATTTATATTTAAGCCATTTTATATCTCACAGTGTTTCAAGTTTTATTGACGAATCTTAGTCTGTGGCGTAACTACCACTACAATTATTTAACATTAATTCACTAGTATATAAGACATGCTAACTTGATTCAATCTTGAGGTATCTATTGAAGGATGAAGGTTGGCATAGTCGAAAGATTCTTTCCCCACATTGGTGACCCGGACGTCGCATGATCACTCCTATTTCGATGAATTGTCCACATTGAACAGTTGACTTGCTGTTTGTGACTGCGCCATTGTCCTTCTAGTGCCGTTGCTTCTCAGTCTCAAATATACACAACGGGGATCCCGCACACTCGATTACTAATAGCAACACAGGGGTGACCACACACACAACCATGAACTTTATACAGCTCTCATGGCTAAAGCTCAAACCCGGTGACTTTAATCCAGCTCTCCCAGTTTTTCGCAAATACAGCAATTAGTGGTATCAGTTAATCGAATTTTATCCCTGATAAAATTGTGGTGGGGGAGTATTGGGGCGTAACTACCACTACGATTATAAACATCAATTCAATAGTATATAAAACATGCTAACTTGATTCAATCAAGAGGTACTTTTCGATAGATGAAGGTTGGCATTGTCTAATGGTCTTTTATATTTTTTCTAACAGAACTGTGAAATAAATCATATTGTGTGTTATAAATTGTTTATAGAATAATCAAGAACTCTGACATTACTAACTAATTCTGATTCGAAATGCAAAACGGAATAATTATCATTAATCAAATTCATTTATATATATATAAATATTGCCTATCTTTGAACATTTGCATAATTTATAGCTGATATACAAAAAAAAGTATATTACACCAGGGAAAAATTACAAAATAAATAAAGAAAAATATTTAAAGTTATCAGCCCATATGTATCACAATTTTTATATCAAAAAATAAATTGCTTGGACAAAAATAACAGTTATGGGATGCGTTGCATTAAATGTTCATAAAAATAAACATATTAACAAAAAGAAGAAGAAAAAAAAAACTTATCCATGAAAAAACAATTTGCCGATCTTTAAATATTTTCATAATTTATAGATGACATACAAATAAAAATAAATTACACCAGGGAAAAATTACGAAACGAGTGCATGAAAAAGACATTACAGAAATATTTAAAATCATTAACCAATATGCGTCACAGTATGCTAGGAAGTAAATCATTGAAGCAAAATGAAGAAGGAAAAAAAAATGGTGCTGGAATCGATTTCTGCTCCATAATTAAACAAATTATTCTTACGCCTGATGCAGTTAACGTTTATTACCGTAAAACTTCTACGGGAATTATCTAATAGCTCTAAAATGGGAGCAAGTTGTTTTAATCCAATAAAAAACTGCTCAAAAATGAGTAGAAAAGAAAAATAATTCGAGTTGGGACACCTTAAAAATCATTGTGAGTAATGAATTTTATTGAACTATTAAGGCATTAAAGGTCACGTGGGCGAGAAGACATTCTCGAGAAAAAGAAAGCGTATTAGAAAAGGGGAATAGGGGAGAGGGGGCAGGGGGAGAAGTGAAAATTTAATTGGATACAATTTGGTAAAAGTTAGGAAAAATAAAAAAGCTGAAAAAAAATGGAGAGGGCAGAGCGAAAATTACCCGAAAGGTTGGATCATTGCCACCGAGGGATCTGGCAACTTCCGCGGATCGTTGTCAAGGTAACGCTTTCTAGAGCTAGTTCATGAGACGAAATTTAGAGAAATTACGAGGGATTGGTTAAAAATTAAAAATTATTTGTAATTCAATTTTTCTTTTGTGTTTTTTCTCTCTTTTATTTATTTATTTTTTAAAT